GAACAATTTAATTTTTGCTATAGAGAAATTATCATTATCGTCTTTTTTTCCAATTTCAATGCATATAGGCCGTTCATGTATTTCATGTACTAAAAATACAAAAAATCAGGTATTTCAGATATTATCCAGAATATAATTAAAAAATTATTTGTAATATGATTTGAACGTGACAAACTTCAACTTGTAAATATCATACTTACAAACACATTCCTCACAGGATGCAAAACGTTTATTAGAAACTTTCTCCGAATCGGCATATTCCTTGTATACTTTTGTTAAGTAATTACATTCTCTGATTAACGGATCCATATATAATTTTGACAATGGTTGCCACGTGATGTGATTAAGAAGAACAATCTGAAAATAAATTTTAAATAATTATAAATTTGCAAGCAATATGATACTATATGATGCATCATCGTGATTATATTACCACTTCATTAAACCCAATTATAGCCAACAACTGTCCATTTGGGATCCATTCTATATTTTCAATTCCTCTCAGCTCTTTCCCATAATTGCACATCTCAGATGACTGTGTCGTTTCCAATGGGGAAAATGCTGTCACGTGTTTCTCCAACGTGTTAGAATAAATAATCAATTTTGGTTCAGCAGGAGAGGAACACCATATGCACAATAATTCATCGTTGGGCGACCAGCGAATCCCATCGATGCCGCGCAAACGATCGCAAATAAGTTTCTGAAATAGTTCATTGTTTATTATTTCGCGCCAGTTTAAAATTATGAGCATACTAGGGAATTTTATGACTACCAAAACTGGAAGCAGATGGGTCGATTTTCTGACGCGTGCGCATTGAAGAAGAACTCTCTCTCTCTCAATAACGTATCAATTTCATAAGAAAATGGGTAATAATAGAGCCTTTGTTTTAATTTTGTAAATTATATAAGAATTTTTACAAAAAAAGAATAAATTCAATCGCGGTTCAAGATAAATCTGATGGGAATGCTTCGAAGCATTTTTTGATTTGACAATTAGTATAATTCGTTCTTTTGATTAGTCAGTCAAAAGTTTCGAAGCATTTATAGCGCCAAGTAGACCCGCATCGAGCTCACAACGCTCATAATTCGTTCGTGAGTCAGTGACTTCCGTTAAGCCAGAAACACATAGAAAAACGTAAGGCCGTAAGACGTAATCAGTAAGGAAATCGTAACATTGGATTCGCTACCGGCCTTACGGTCTCTACTGTGATTGGCCAATTCGCTTACTGATTACGTTTTACGGCCTTACGTTTTTGTATGTGCCATGGGCTTTACCAATGCCAACTTCATTCTTTTACCGACAGTAGAACAATTTTTGAACAATCGTTAATTGTTGAAAATGCTTTATAATTGTCGAGGTCATCGACATATAGTATGGACTGCGCGATCCATTCATAAGTCCCCTCGAAAAGTGTCCGGTGAATTAGACTAGAGTCCTAGATATCAGAGAAGCGCAACCGGCTTAAGTCAGTATCGCAAAATTACTAAGAAAAGTATTAAAAATGGCGTCTTTTGCAGACGAAATATGAAATCCACCAATCGTCTATTAGTCAGCCATTTTTAATACCACTGAATGAATGTCATGATTGGCTGACAGTCAGCTAATCAGGACGCGGAACATCGGTTGCGCTTCTCTGATATCTAGGACTCTAAATTAGACAAAGAGTCGCTCTTTCTAATACTCCTATTGGCTGCTTTTATTACCGCTCAGTGGATGTTAGTAATGTATCGCTAGACGATAGAAAGAGACACAGCTTGACTCACACCGATCGCTATCTCTTTCTTTCGGGCCGGTCATATTATTTCAGCCTGTGCGTAGTCCATACTATATGTCGATGGTCGAGGTTATATTTTCTACGCTGAAAGATGTAAAAAACACACATAAAAGACATGATCTATATATCCTTATCGCTCACAGAATGTCAAACAAGAATGAAATAATAGTTCTGGGCTGCGTTCAAAATCATCATCTGGGTGCACCTAGAGTCCTAGATATCAGAGAAGCGCAACCGATGTTCCGCGTCCTGATTAGCTGACTGTCAGCCAATCATGACATTCATTCAGTGGTATTAAAAATGGCTGACTAATAGACGATTGGTGGATTTCATATTTCGTCTGCAAA